GCTTATGATAGGATTGGGGAGTGAAGTGTATGGAGGTAAGGAATACCAATAATCATGTCATGTTCACTTTTCATTTATCACTCATTTATTACAATTGAGGGGATTGAAACAACAAAAAAAAACAGCACTCGCCCTATAAATGGCGAAAACTCAGACTAGGATAATGAGATGACCGAAATGTAAGTCTTAGGGAACCTTCGCTACATTGGTACGCTCGTTACCCTAGTAGTAAAACCTTGAAAGAGAGAAAGAACGATGATCCAGAGCTGAAAGTGAGAGAAGAAAACAAAGAACTACGAATATGCCAATTGAGACAACGGTTTTGAAAGCAATAGACTCAGAATCTGCGTATACATTACCTGTGTTAGGTGCGAAAAAAACTGCTCATGTTTTAACATCCTTGTGGTTCTTGCTACGCCCAGAACGGACATCGGACAAGAACTGATCTTGCATAAGGTTCATCTTAAAGTTCGTGGGTACGCGCTGGTCCGCCACGAACACCCTTTTAGGCGCAGTAGGGGACTGTAGCAAACGGTGCAACGACTGCAAAATCTGTTCTGTGTCGCACGCCGCTCGTACGCTGTGGAACTCGGCTGGTACGCCAGGAGCATGCGTCTCCGTCAAAGGGCCCTCATTTCACCCGTTTTTTTGACTATTTTCTGATTGTAGCATTAGCTGGTTTGGAGACAGCTATTCCGACAAGTTTTATTAAGCTTAAAATAATTAAATCAAAAAATCCCACTATTTCGATCGATAGACTTCGTTGATCGGAACCAGGGGATCGTGCCTTTACAACACTCAGCTAGAAGATGTCAGGTCAATTCAACAAGAACATCTTGAGCTTACTCGTACCTACTCAGACAATTCGCGCAAGCGGCGCGCACTCACGGCCAGCAGGGCAGGCGGCGGGCCGTGATTTGTGGGCGTGACCTTGCACCGCACAGGCGGCGCGCACTGATTTCAGCCAACAGGCGGCGCGCAATGCATGTTCGCAGGCGGCGCGCAGACACAATGTGCGTGCAGGCGGCGCGCAATGAACTTTCTGTAGCTTCACGTAAGCGGAGGAGGACGCTGCTTCCGCGCGCAAATGCAGAATTTTTTGCAGATAATTGTTTCTCCTCGTTCCTCCTTGTTTTTTCACACAAAGTATTGTGTTGTTTATTACCTTATTTTACTCTGCTGTTTCACCTCTTTTTTCTGTTTCTAAATTGTTTTGAAATCAAGTGTGCGATTTTTTTGCCTTTTTTTAGCACGTCTTCTTTTATTTAATCCATATTCACTCTTGTTTCTCAGTCAGTTTTCCATATCTTTTATCCTACCTCTGGTTCCTAATCATATTGACCCCGTGACACAGGGACGCTCATTTTCAATCAATAAGCTTTCTTGCGTCGTTGCGCCTCCTTCGTTTCTTTCCGTTGCTATTTCTTTCTCTTCTTTTTTCACAAGAAAGCAAAGTTTAATTCAGGTCACAACTGCCTTAGTACAATGATGGCAAGTCGACCTCAAAAGAGTAAGTCTTGCTTTTTGAAGCCAAAGTAGGCATTTTGTTTAAAAACATTATTGTGTTTCAGCCACCGATCTACAATGACTCCAAATACCAAGAATCAAGATGATTTATGGTCGTGGGACCTCAGCCCTGACTTTATTTATCTTGAAGAGGTGAAAAAATGCATTTTTTTCTGCATTCGTCAATATTTATTGCTTTTTCTCTTCAGTTTATTAATAGCGTGTATCAGCGCCACAGCATGCGCCTAGACCGACTGATGGAATCAACTCTTGATAGAACAAAAACCATTACGAGAACTAACGAGGACGAGGCTGATCCAGATTATTCATGTCTTAGATTTGTTCATGTCTCATCATTCATCCCAATTTTCATGCTTATACCCATCATATCTCCGTCATCCAATTGTTTTATTCCTGTAATTGAACTGAGTATATGAATTCCAGGAGCATTCAATTCTGGCTGATCAAGCATGCCCGCGTTTTGTTCATTGCTATCGCATTTTCATATTTTATTCCTCTAAATCTGTACATATATTATGCATTCATATCTATGCATACTGTTCAGTTTATTTATCAAAGTACTTAGTGATTTTATTGGCAGTTATTTCAAGTTATCTCGTCATACTGTTGCATTAGTTACTATCAACTTCATTGTATTCATTACTTCATACACACGTCTTGTTGATATCACATTTGAATATAAATACCTTGTTGTTGTACTTTAAGTTTGTGACTTTTGTAAGTACTACCTAAGCTAATAGTATTGAATGCCAACTGTCAAAGACAGCCTTATCCTGTAAATACTGTATTTTGTTGCAATTTGTGTTAAAACCTGTCAAATTTGAAAATTGTAGATATTATTTGTTAATAAAACAGTTGTGAAACCATATTGTCCAACAAGCATAAGATATTCAGACCGACAACAAAAATCCGAGCAGATTCCTGCCAAAATTTTCCTCGTAGCGCGCAGGCGGCGGGCCTTCAATCCATAGGCGGCGCGCACTGCACACACAGGCGGCGGGAAGGTACATCGCTCGCTGATTCAGTGCGCGCCGCCTGCGCGCAGATTTGTCTGAGTATAGTTACAAATGGCTGCGAAGAGCGCGCCCCATGACCTAATGCAAATTTGACCGGCGCGCAGGGCGTTTGCTGTCGAGCGTGCAGTTCATGCACAGATTTCTATCTATATGAGCTACTTAGGCCAAAGTGAAGATCCTGAATGATGACAGCTTATCAATGTCTTGGAACGAGCTGGTGCTAAAGATTTCATTGAGCCGCGGCAACAAGTTAACGGTGAAAGGGTGAAGATTGCTCTTTTGTAGACTTTTTGCAGCAATTTCTTTGTACGACTTTTTTCTAAGCAAGGTTCTGTGCAGCATGACTCCGTTTCCTGATGCTAAAGGTTGTAAGCTTGTATAGGCCTCTTCCCTTAGTTCCTATTGCTTGTGTTTTGAAGACAAACTTGGTTACTTTGTTGTGCACTCACGATGAGCAAGTTTGAGGTCCACATCTTGTTTCTTATACCGAATGGAAAGTATCTGTATGTCTGAGGTGATCTAAAACATTCATGGAGGGTGGACTCTCTGTTCAACCTCTCAGACTTTTTTTCATCTGTCACAAAAATGAAGGTCAAAGCTCAGATGAGGAGTAAAGGGCAAAGAAGCAGTGTCTGAATCACATATATATATCATTCATTCTACGGCTAGGAGACGCGAGACCGCATCGCACACATTGTCTAAACAAGCCTAATCATGTACTCAGCCTGTTTATTTCTGTTATTTATCCCGTACAGGTTCATTCAATTTTTAGAAACAGAGAAGAACAAACTCAAACTTGTTAGAACAATGTCCGCATTGCGGTCTCGCGTCTCCTAGTCGTAGAATAGATGAACTTCTCATAGACCGTACTTATGCTTTTGCAAACACTCCATCTGTGAGATAATGAACGAAGACTACGTTGAGATAATGAACGAAGACTACGTAACGGAAATTGACAGAAGGTAGTATAGCGTGGTAGCTCCCTAAATAAGCTGGATGTAACTAAGCCTCTAAGCTGCCGAAACTAACGTACACAGTGGTTTTTACGAACAGTTCAGCTATCGAGCTCAAGCTGTACTTACAATGCTCACCTGCAAGCTACTATTCATCTTGGGAATAGAGAACTCGAAAACGCTTTGTATCTACAAGTTGTCTAACATTCTCGAATTTGTTTTATCCAAGTATTAAGTCAACAAAAATGAAATATGTCGCAGGTGCTTGTTAACTGAGCGTTTTTGAGTTCTCCTATCTCAGAATGAATGATACTTACCTCTTACTCTTGGATCTGCAGCTTTCTTCTTCTCATGGCTGCCGTAAAAGGGAAACATGTTCAGTAAAAGACGCCTCCCTCTTTATCAACAAACAGATCACTGCTCTCATATCCGTGCTAAGTTCTTAGGGGACCACCTTGATGATTAATGAACTCATTGGCAAGATACACAGCACTTCATCTCGGTTCCCTGTAGGATCCCTCATCGCCAGGGATCCTACAGGGAACCGAGATTTGCACTGGGACAGGGGGCGCGCTCTTCGCAGCCATTTGTAACTATAATAGGTACGAGTCTTGAGCTTAATCGTTAAATAGCCAAAAGTGTTAGCCAGCTTCGTACATGCTGAGACAGCCCAACCACTGTATCCCATGCGAGTATACTTGTACTTACAACGTGAGATAATGTGACGGGACGCCGCTCATCTGTTTGCGTTGATAGGATGCCGCTCGTCGTCACAACGGTACGCCGTTGTTATCTAGCGCTGATTACAGAACTGCAGTTCTGCGCTTAGCGTAAAAGAGCGTACGCTGCTGGTACGCTAAGCGCAGAACGTGAAACGCCGCGTACACCAAGCCATTTAGGAACGCCGCTGGTGCACGACGAATGTCAGAGGAGTTTCATCAGCGCGACGATAGCGGATTTGACTGCCTTCTTTGCGTCCATAGGAGCATAAAGCATCTATACAAAAAGGCATCACCTTAGCGCTCGGCCCTGTCACTTCCAGTGCTTAAGTACTATCATAGGTAAGCAGAAAACCATTCGAGTAGGGATAAAAGCAAGAAAATGCGGCAGCCGGAAGAGCGTCCACGCCGCGCAAGTCGCGCCATATTACGATTTTTTGTATGTCCTATATGTATATACCACCGCTTCGCAAGCCTCTCGCAGTAGATAGTACCTAGTAGATGGGTTGCGTTGCGGTGCCACCAATGGCAAAGATCACTGAAAGGCTTTGCCCCGCATTTGTGTGAATTTACGTAGGGTGTCATTTTATTATTGACTACTGTAACTTCTAGATTCATGGTGGGCTTTGCTGAACTTTCATTTTACTTTTTTGCATGTTTTTGCAGGTTACTCAGTTCAACCATTGTCCTTTTTCCCGTTTCTATTTTTGTTTCCAACAAGTGGTTTGTGTTGGGATGCTTTTACGGTGTTTTCCCATCTTAACTGTTTGGTCCTGAGTTATGATATTTCAGCAAACAACTCGATATAGCTGTTCTTCTTCAACATGAGTATTCCCGAGGAGGGACCTTTTAAGGTCAGTTCTTTGTTGCAAGAAGTCTGATCTTATCTTTTTTATTCTTAATATGACTTCAGGACGCAGTGAATCATCTCAGTGGCAAGTTATCAAGTTTTATAGTAGCATAGTTCTTAGTTCAGTCAGACTCCATCTGTATCGGGTTTTAGCTATCTGAGCAAACTTGTGCTAGCCTATAATTCTGATAATCCTGACGAAATTTCTGTGAACTGCGCATAAACGCCTATTCTACATCAAAATACGTGCTCCTTTCTAGGCTTTCATCGGTAACCTTCCTTTCGATGGCGTACAAGGTGACATTGAACAAATCCTAAAATATGTTGGTTTCACCGATGACCAGGTATCTTTTCATGTAACATACATGAGAAGCCTTCTTTTTCGTGAGTTTACATCTTCTATGATTTTTCTTGCTGGTTTGTTATTGTAGCGAGCAGTCGTGATATTCGGAATGCTTGAGAACCCATCTGGGCAAAGTTTTGAGCAGATTTGGACTTTGACCCTCTACCGTATTCCCACCGTAACCAAAATGACGTTACCATGCAATATGGTATGCATGTTTAGTGCGCTAAATAGCCCCTTTCCTAAGCCGAGTTCCGGGAAAGTTTGTAATCTTGACCCCCTATACCGTAACCATAGAGAACATTTAGTGCGGAAAGCGTGATATTCGTGACAGCAAAACCCTTTGCGGCCCTTTGACCCTTTGCGCAAAGTTTCAGCGAAATTTGAGATTTTGACATGTAGCTTGCCGTAACCCTTCAAAAAAAAGCTTTGCCATGCGCAATAAATACCATTCGTGATCAGCGGGTCGAATAGCATCTCTGAACTCTCAGCGAAGTCTGCGATTTTCATTTATTTTTGGGTCTTAAGTGAAACAGTACCACCTTCTGGTCATATTGTTGTGCGTTTTAGACACAATTTTCTCTTGAGATATGTTGAGTAGATAAACTGCAGAATTTCTAATAATGTACGGCTTTGTTGAGCATCAATGCGTTCCAGATTCATTCCTTCCAAGTTCGCATGGTACATGACCGCGAAACAGACAAATTTAAAGGCTTTGCCTATGTGGAATTCAATACTGCAGATGAATTGCGCAAAGTCTTGGAAATCAATGGTGTGGTAAGAATTAGCATCTTTTGATGAAAGCTTTCTCGAAATGCAGTTCCACTTTATTTTTGCGTTTTATTATATAACAGCTAAGTTCGGTGTCATTTTTCTTGGGAAGATTATGATATCAACAAACCTCCATCTGGTTTGCGCTTTCATATCCCAACTCTCATAATTACATTACGTTACGTTAGTTACATTTTCAAGTTCTACTTATTAGCTTCTGCTTCAGTCACATAATGAGTCTGCTCTCTATATGTACAAAAAAAACCGCATGATGCAAAGCCTCTTTTTCAAATGGCTTAGGTGGCACTACACCGTCTACTTTTACCTTTTTCAGTCATCTTACCTTGGTTGCCTTTTCTCACGGTAATCACTATACCGGTGTATGTCATATAACGAACTCGTGAGTTTTTCCGACAGTTTCTCCGCAAAAGACGTCAAACTCAGCGAGTGTTAGTTTATACGGCTCGTAGCTTATAGACGCAAATAGCGCTGGAGTTTTGAGTAGGTGACGTCGAAAAAATCGCGCCCCGTGTCCCTCTCCCTACAATGTGTAGGATCTTATCCTGCGAAACCGTTTTGACACAGCTCATGTGTTTTGATATCGTATATTGAGGCCAGAGAAAATGTCATGTGAGACATGTAGAGGAAGTGACAGCAATCGCTGTGTATTACAAATTTATATTTACGGCTACATGTTACGGTTCATCTGCCCGCGCTTACCTAAACGTAGTAAATCGAAATTTTGTGATTTTAATGTCTCATAGTTATATCCAAAGTTGAACATAGTTATATCTCAAGAAAAAAGCCAAACTGATTGCATTCAGCGCCGCTCTTGTGCATCCTATATTTTGGTCAATACTATGTAGTTTACAGTATGTGCTCTTGACATTTTAAAGCTTTATCGGTATTTGCACTGCATTGTACTCATGAACAATAGATATAATCTTTCCCTAAACATTAGATAGTAATCTTTCCTCGATGCGCTCATCTGGTTTATTCTGTTTTCAGGACTACGGAGGTAGACCTTTGAAGATTGATGTGGCCAGTCAACGGCCAGGTGATCGCGGAGGAAGGGGACGTGATCGTGGAGGTCGCGGTGGCAGTGGATGGAGCTCGGCTGATCACAATCGCCCACGCGGTGGTTTCCGCGGCAATTATGGCGGTCGTCAACGTCGCCGAAATTCCGAGCGCAGTCACGACGAGGAAGAATTCGGTCTGTTCTTCTTCTGACTTTTCTCGTACACTATGTCAAGCATTCATTCAGTTGAACATCCCGACCGTCCGCATCTTGTGTTGAAACCGCGAACTACGGATCCTGCTGAGCTAGAAGCGAAACGCCAGCGAGAGGCTGAGGAAGAAGCAGCTCGTCGCGCTAAACTCTTCATTGCTTGAGAGGTAAGCGACGTCAGTGTTTTCTTTTTTGGCTTTTATTTATTGTACCAAGTGGTTTTGTACCAGTTTTGTCGCTTCTAGATTTGTCGAAGCGACTTTCAATCAACTTGTTTTGGTAATGTTGTTGCCTTGGATATTCTTTTTGAAGAATACTGCTGATTCTACAGCATAGATACTTATATATTATGAAATGATTTCTACCAGCAGGTCTACTTGCCTACCTCACTGCTTGTAGTGAGGTTGCTGTGTCGGTGAATTTTGTTGTTATTTACTACTAATCCGGCTGTTATCCGAGTTCGCTGTTCACGTAGTCAAATGCCGGTGTTTGCTATTTATTCAGATAATAGTACGATATCTTACGTAGATCATTATTTCTCATCGAACGCCAATCCATGGTTCAGTTTCAAGTCTTTTTCTTCACACTTAATGTTTTTAGCGCATTGTACTAGTTCTTTGCTAATGTGACATGTACACATTGCGTTATTGGCAAATAAAGATTATGGGCTCTAGTCGGCTTTTGGAAGCAGTGTATACCATTCTTATATCAACCCTTAATTGATCAAAAGATTTGATGATTTGTTCAAGATGGTAACAGAAGCTGATGTACATAAGAGGATTTCTGAAAAGCTCAGTCCTGTGCATTTGGTAAGTTGCTTATTGATGGCCGTTCCAAATCTTACTATTCTTACCACTGTTCTTTTGATTATGCTTCGTTCACTTCTTGCCATGAAAAACTTTGCCGCCCTTGCATACCATATGGTGGTGCTATTCAATCTGCTCTTTTTCCCGAATAACATCGAGATTCGAGATCTTTAAAATACTGACTGGGTAGCGGAAAGAAATCCGTCATTTTGGGGCCCACGCTGATAGACAATTCTATTGCGATGCTGTTGCACGTCGATGAGGGACCGTAGCTCACACTCGCTGCCCAAAAACTGTGGAGTTTGCTTTTCTACCCGCGCTGATTAGATGGTATCTGACCTGGTAAGCACAAAAAACGACAATGGGTGTATAGTGATAAGGGCAGGGAATGAGAGGTGGGGATGGAAATTTCAAAAAAAGTTTTCTCCGTGCTGTTCGGAGAAGGGAGTTTATCAGCTCGGTTTTGGCAAGTATGGTCGGAACCGGAAACATGGATATAATAATAATGCATGTGAAATAATAGCTCCTTAGGCGAGGCTACCGTAAGATTCCAGGGTAAGGATTACCGTATACCCACTGTAGCCTCGTCCCTTGGTATGTGCGGTAACTTCACCAAAGACTGTCGTGCGAAATGATTATCTTAATGATTAACATGTTAGATTGGAGAACTTTGAATTCAATCACGTACTGTCATAGCGCATTGTTCATGGAAATCAAAACTTTTTACTTCAGGCGCAAATTCTGTAAAGGCAAGAGTATCATTTTTTACCGGTCAGGAGCTCCGGAAAACCACATGATTCAAAATTGCCTTATTTTGGACCAGTGCGTCACCTCTGCTTCGCAGAGGCTCGCACTGATCTTACTTCATATGCCTTACTCATTCTTGACTAATGATGGCAATGAAACTCACCACGCAGTGCCGATCATCGCGAGTAAAATATAAACAACTACCCATTTAAAATGCTTTTTCATGTGAGATCGGTGATTTCGCGTGGATGAAACTTTTTGCAGAAGAACAAATACGAATTTGAATAGGTTTTTGGACTCTTTCTGGCTTGGTAGCTACCATAAGAAATAGTAGGCAACGTGAGCTACATCTCTGTGCAAAATTTTTCTCGAATGCTCAGGTAAAACCATGGCAAATCAATCATTTACGCAAACATTTCTTTTTGGCGTCGTTCTCCTAAAGTAGTGAACTTTTGTCCACTTTTTTGGACTAAAGTCCATGGCTTGCACATCAGCATGCCAAACACATCCCCGATTTTGCAAAAAGTGGTAATACGGAACCAATTTTGCTGGCCAGAACCCAAGTGGTTCCGTTTGACGCGCAGTTTCTGAGGGATCCAACCAACAAAACCATTCGTGCTTTTGCACGGTAGGCTCTTATGTTGGTCGCATGCGATGTGCAAAATTTCGGCTCAGGACGTTGGCTGGAACTCGCTCTACGAATTTCGTTACAGACAGACACACAGACATACACACACACATACACACACACAAAAACACGTAAACAACCTTAGCCCGTTAAAGTTATGATGTTTTATGCTTGAACGGCGAAAAAGAACACTGAGCTATTCGTTTCTATGACACGCTAGCCCTGGAAACGAACAGCAGAGAATTTTGGCATGCGTGCCGACGTGGTCTAAGGCTGAACGGTGAGGCATTTGTGCACTGTTCAAGTAATACTCATTGGTCGCTGATGTGGAATTGTAGTGAGAATTGCGCCGGTATAGGTTTCCGTAAATTGATTTGTTGTCAAATTGATCTTTTGTATCTTTCATACGAAAAAAAAAACAAGGAAATGAAAAAAATCTTTCCAGGAAGTGGTAGACGAGTCCGATGGTTGTGGAGCCAAGTTTTTGATCACGGTAGTATCAGATGCTTTCAATGGTAAAAGAGTTCTGGAATGTCACAGGTAAAAACCAACAATATTGAGCTTTACGTATTCCTTGTATCTTCGTACTTTGCGAAATTTCACAGGGTTCATCTTATCCCATTTTTTGCACCATTATATATGTTTTGATATGTTTTCAAAAAATGTGATTGTCAGGGTTTTGTTAAGATGCTTATTGTATTGTAGACTTGTCCAAGATGCCATTGCTGACGTTATGCCGGAAATCCATGCAGTCACTATCAACGCCTATACACAAAGTAAATGGGAAAGCTCACAAAAGGTTGCAGTCTGACATTATTGGTCATTTACTATCGTTTTTTAGAATGTATGCGCCATTGATATCGCTTTACTTGTTTATTGTTATGTTTGTGCATCCTCCATTCACATCATTTTCGATAATAAATATAAGAACAGCTGTAGGTGTATCAACTCATAAATCGATTATCCGATGCAGTTATCTATTTCGTGGGTGTTCACGTATCTCAGTTCTCATGTAGTGATCTGATTCGGATAAAATTTTCTCTGAATATGAGACTTTCGTACATTGTTTCTAGGGCTATTGAATGGGAATTGGAGAATCATTCATTTTTTTTACCTTCACCTTTTATGCCGGCTGATTTTTTTGAACCCTTTGGATATCAGCTGATCTTTTTTTCCTTCGCTTTTCAAACCGCCTGATCCTACTCAAGATTCAAGCCTTTTGTCCAGGCGCGCTGTAGCTGCTTGAAGCGAAGTGGCGTGTGAACGTCTCGGGTTAGCGGTGGATGTTTACCGTGTTGCTCGCACGCTACTATCAAAGCTGCTTCGAGGGTTCTGGGCAAGGCAAGTTTTTCAAGGTTCCAATTGTTCACTTTTCTGGTTGTTGTCAGTTACCTATCCAATTTTACATGGCTTTCATCAGCCCTCAATCAAATGGTTTTTGTCCGCTCAGAGTTAGCGAAATTTCTGACGATTTCATTTTACAAATTTTAGGGACAGGAAAAGAACTTTCACTGGAAGAGGAATTTGGACTAATGGATAATCCGGATGAGGTATGCTGGACTGCAGGCCATCATAAATTCTTCTCATTGCGGTTCAAAGATTTTTTGCAGACTCAAATCGATCCTGAAGTGCGAGCACGGTTTCAGTCAGCCTCTGCATACCTGCCAAGTGTAGTGGGACGACTTGACCGAAGTCACCTGGTACAATTCTATGCGCTATTTAAGCAAGCTACTGTAGGTCCCGCAAGTAAGCTCTAGGTCTTTTTAGAATTTTTTTTGTAGAAGCCATGAACTACTCTGGTTGACTTTCTTCAGGTTTCTGATGTTTCAGAAGCTGACGATCGACCTTCGTTTTTTGACGCTAAGGGAAGAATGAAACATGATGCATGGGCGCAACTGGGTGATATGCCAAAAGATGTAGCCATGAAGACGTAGGTTATATATTATTTTGGCATCAGTTTTCCCTTTCAATTGCGTGAATTGTTTGATGCTTTCAGACTTCGTCAGTATTCTTCTGCTTGTGACTTATTTTTGATGCTCAGATGATCATTTGTCCTCAAAACCATAGTTTTTTTCTAAAAACCTAGGGTTTTGAACGATTGCATAAAAAATTTCTTTATAATGGCTTACGTAACTGGTGTTAGATTAAGTTGTAGAAAAGCGACATTATTCTTTTTTTCGTATTCAAATGATTTTTCACTTCCAGGTATGTTGCAAAAATGGCGTATATGAATTTGGGCTGGGACCCAACCGTACAGAATACGTCCCATGGTGGATTTGGAGTGCGACCAAGTCGGCCAGCTTTTGTGGTAAGTGGAGTTTTTGCGAAAAATTGAAAATGTTTATATAAGAACTCAAGGAGAAGCAGTTATTTACTTTTTATATGTACGCTGGCAATAATTACAGTTCAGGAATAATTTTCTTTCCGTTCTCATGCAACCTTGTAGAGCAAGGTAAGACCGGATTTTCTCATCCTATGCAATTCTGAAACACTCAGCAGTGAATGCTCAGAACTTAACTCAGCCATCCAAACCTGCTGTAATCATCGGATTCGTCTTGAAACGCTGATCACAAATATATGTTCATTATCTGCCAGCGACTATCTGGGAGGAGTTATGAGCGTTAAAATATGCGATTTGTCAAATGTTGGCGCAAGCTCCACGAAATAGCCTTCAAAAACTTTTATATAGTTCACTGCTGAATGTGCTTCTTCCCTGTAATTAGAATAATCATAGCTGTAAATCCGCACCATCAGGCAGCCTTTCAAGGAATATTCATTGAAACTTGAAGACTTTCTCATAATTGAAAGCTCATAACTCCTCCCAGATAGTCGATTGGCAGATAAAAAAATCTATTTGAATCAGCGTCTTAAGAAGATGCGATGATATAAGCTTGTTTGGAATGGCTGGGTTAAGTTCTGACCATTTCCTCGTCAGTAGGAGATGAAAGCTTGGTTTGCAGGGGGCGGGTCGAACCTGCGTCCAGTCTGGTCATAGCGGCGGCTCAAACCATTATGCCGTTCGTCTCCGATCTGATACAATGCACAATGTCTCAGAAAAATATGATAAATTGGCGTACAATTTTCAAAAGATATTACCTGAGGTGGCTAAATTTTGTAAATAGATGAAAATCATTCCTTGATGGCGGAACTAGATATTGCCGGTAACTCGATGCCTCATGTAACTGTAACCAAAGGCGGCAGTTAAGCATTTCTTGGAATGTTTTGAACTACTTATTCAGAGCGAATCATCTGATGGCAGCGCTACATCTGTGAGTGATCGTGAAGCCTTGCTCTGGTTTACAGCAGCGAAAGCTGATGATGTCACTACGATTACGGACATCTACAATAGGCGTCCGGAACTGATAAATCAGACCGACCAACACCTAGGGGTAAGCAGAATTGCCTAACTTACATCAAACAACTTTTATGAACTCTAGATGACTGCCTTACACTGGGCGATAGACTCTGGTTGCGACAAAGTGGTACAATTTTTAATCAGTAAGGACACTGATGTGAATGCAGTCGATCCGGAGGGTAATACACCGTTACATTTTGGTAGGTCACTTTTCAACTGGATGCAATTAGCAGATACAAGTACCATGAGTCAGTGGCGTATTCTGGATTTCCGAGGGGTGGGGAGGGGGCAAAAAAAAATTTTTTTTGGTGAGGTTGCGTGGAGTCAGCCACGTACGCCGAAGATTTGTTTAGTATGCTTCCTGGAATTTTTGCGGGCCTATAACTTAGGAATTTCAGGAGCAGGGATGTGGCTGCCGCCACCCTCTTGAAGTTTTTTTTTATAAGGCTGTACTGATTTTTTAAAAATTTTCTAAAAATCATATCAATTGTTTACAAGTATAAGCAAGTCGCTTGCACAATTTTTTACTCATATAACTTTCAAAATTTCGCGACCCACTGTTGGGGGGGGCCTCGGTACGCCACTTCATGCGCTGTGTGTAACTGCTCTCACGGTATGATCGGAAAGCCAGTGACTCGACAGTAAGAGTTGGGTTTTCCATCTTTCTGAACCTTCCTTGTGATAGTGTGAACGCTGATTTGTAATTATTAGTGGACCTTTGTTCAAAATAATGTAATGGTTCTTATCTACGATTACATCCAGATGCCGTGTGTGGTATATCATTGTATTTTTTCTATGATTACAGCAAAACTTCTACATAATCCGAGCACGTTTCGGGCACTTCGATCATAATGTGATATCAAAGAATAACGAAGGAATCTGGCGTTCAGTGGGCTGCATCTGCGGATGTGACAGTCCTTATCTATAGGTGTAAGAAAGCTCAAAAAAAAAAAAAGCTTCAAACAATATTTTGTTGGACAACTGTTGCAGAATCAAAAAAAATACCGCAAAGAGCTTTTGGCTATAAAATCCATGCGAACTACATGAGTTGGATTCATAATGAAAATGAGTGCATAATGCTTATTGCAGCCGCGTACTGCCATCGTCAAACTGCTGCTGAAGTTCTGATCTCAAAGGGAGCTAACCGAACAATCCGCAATAACGACGGACAAACTGCTGCCGAAGTTTGTGACGATGAGACCCTCAAAGCTATTTTAATGCCACCAGAATGACCTCATTTATGTTTTCTCCTATGCCGTGTGCTAGCCGTAAGATGGGTATTTTCAAAAGCCTATTTGTGTTTATTTTACTCATGTGAGATACTCCTGTGAGATTGAAGAAGTGCCAGGCTGGTTTGTACAAACAGAGCTATAAAGCTTGCAGATTGTTTCGACTCTCTTGTTACAAAAGATGTTGGAATTTGATCTGATGAATGTTATTATTGGAACCTTAAAATTTAGTAGTATCAAAGTTGATCTAATCGCTCTCAAATAGTGCGCGATATCTATCCAAGAATTGATCAAAATCTACTGAAACAATGGTAATTTTATGGCCTGTGTATACTAGCTCTGTAGAGAGCTACATTTGTTACATGTCTCTGCAATCACTACTTTTCTTTTTGGATGTACTGTGCGATTTACATATCATCCCTGTGAATTCTGTTACCTGATAAATTTGAGAGGGATGTGTTCAAAATTATATTCTTTAATAAATTTGAGGGGAATGTGTTGAAAATGATATTCCCTGATAAATTTGGGAGGGATTTGTTGATTGCCGTACCCTGAATACTATACTCTGGACCAATCGGATGGATTATTCGATCATTCGAATGCTCATGATTCGAAAATGCAAAATCGATAACCCAAAATTTGAAAGTCGAATATTCGAAAATTTATATCGAATATTATCTCAAGTCGAGTATGCGACATATTGACTTGGATATCAATCGAAAATTGAACTGCGATGATTACCGAATCGATCAATCGAACGTCTTCATATTACGAATACTTGATGAGTAATGAATATTTAAATACGTGATGATAGCTGGATTGAAGGAAAATAAAATTGCAAGAACAGAGTTTTTGCAAAATTTTTTATTCAAATCAAGCTCAGGGAGCTGGAGCTTGCTCAGGGACTCGCGCCGTGCGGGCGGCCAGCGATGACCCCACAATCGCTCGTCGGTGTGTGCGATTGTACGGTCGTCTAGGGCCGTTGGCACGGTTAACATGGGGCGCTGCACGGTTCCTAACATACCTTCGATAGTCTAGAGACAGGGCGCCAAAAGTGAAGGTTGTTTGAACATCTGACGTCATAAATAGTGAAGGTTGTTTGAAGAAGATCAGAGAAGAAAAAATGACGTAAAATAGATATAAAAAGCACGAGAAACTGCTGAAACCAGATAAAAATGCTGCAATAAGGTTTGAAATCTTTCGTTTGGCGGCTTTTTAAAGTGCAAGTTTTCGCTTCAAGACCAGCAATTCGCAACACGGGTTTTGATTTTTGATGCGTCCTTTGAATTTTTACCCTCGCGCCGTCCCTCTTGTACCCTGCGACGTTGTCTGGATTCTTCCGCTCATCATTCTGAGCAAGTATCGTCCAAGCTGGAGAAAATTCGTTGCGAAACCACTGAAAAAGAATAAGATAAAGAAAAACGCATTTTTTTTGTAATTTTCACAAAAAAACCGGCGTAAGCAGAGAAATAAGCTCGGCGACGTTGTCTACATTATAGACAGAAACAAGACCTATCGACTACACAAAAAAACTGCGTGAAAAGAGTCAAACTAGGAGAAAAACGAGAGATTTTCGAAAACAAGGTTTTTGCCGGATTTCTCGTTTGAATCACAAAAAGGAGTTTTGCGACGTTGTCAGCGTGAAAATAGAGATCAAGAGCTTCAAAATGATATATAGCTTGCTAAAATTGGGTTCGAAACAGCGAAGAAAAGGGTACCAGAGCCAAATGCCGCGCGCCCCGCGTTTGGGGTAGCGAGGTAGCGCGCAGCGCGCGGAGACGCAGACGAGCAGCGGAGACAGACCAGAGCCGGCGGGGCATTTGGCTCTGGTCATTGATCTCCGCGGGGTCATAACAAAACCCTATAATATTATATATTGTGATACTCATGAGACGGCCAGGAGCACTGACAACGTCGCAGGTCTTGAAAATCACTCCATAAGAAGATAGACCAGCATTTATGTGGCGACTCTCTGCGCAAGATTTCAGCGCAATTTCTCGTTTTTATTGAATTCCAGCGGCTTTCATGAACCTCCAGCGCTCAATCGCAGTCTACAGAAAGGTTAATTGATAAGTTTCATCCTAATTTCTGAGTTTTTGAACAAAAACCTTCTTTTCAGCAAAAAAGACCATAAAAACGTGATCCTTCGGTTTTTTGAGCTTTTTCTGGATGTCACTACTATATTTGCCTCATTCACATTCATCCTTACATAGTTAGTCATTAGTTATATCATAATATCCGGGCTTCGCCCCGGATGACTTCTGTATTCCTCTCCAGGTGAAAATTGTGTCCTCTCATGACACTCAAAGTGAAGGTTACCAGAGTACTTGGCTCTATGTATCGAAGGTATGGTTCCTAACGCTCGCCGCTTGCGCGGGGAAGTTCGACCGCTCGCTTGCTGGAGTAGATCTATATGGGATATCCTGACCATTTTTCTTGGATATGTTAGTCCTTTTTACATTCTGAGAACATCGAACGATGCCTGCAGCAGTGGTCAAACTTTCCATGGTGAAGCCCACACCATCACTCTTGATGACTGTGGCTTCACGCAGGTTCATTCCAGCCTTCCTGGGGAAGGAAAATGTTGATAACAAGGTATGACAACGCTTAGTCATAAATAAATTCACAAAACAAAATCGCATTTTTTCGACTGTAACTCTTTACGCAAGTTTTGAGTCCAGTTTCGTTTCTATTGGATTCAAACAGACTTTGTAAATATCTGAAACTTATTGTTAGTCAATTGTTAGTCATATTCCAAGAATAAATCCGAAAAATGTGACATTTTTAGAGAGATATCCTCAAAAAAAATCTTGTTTTCAGCATGAACAAGGCTACACAAACGCAATTTTTCGGTGTAATTATTGGTAACACATTAGAGGCAGCGTCCACCCAAAATCTATTAACTACAGAATTACTACTTATCTTATAAGCAGGCCCTAAAAATAGGCCAACCGCGTTGGTCCGGTCCAGGGCCCGGCACGCGTTGGTTTGAAGCGTTTCCGGAAACGAAGTCCCGCATGACTTCGCGAAAATTTACGAAGTCCCTCTTGACGTAAAAATCAGTAGGGAAACCCTTAATTAGTCAAAATAACATCAAAAAAAGCGAAAAAAGCGCATTTTGAGGTAACTAATACAACAAAAAAGCAAAAAGAAAACATTTCGAGTTGATTAAAGGCTCTGTCATTGGAAGTGTACCATTTTAGCGCTCAGAATGTCGAGAACCTCCTAGGCCAACCAAATCTGTGGCCTCAACAATCTGGCAGTGCGTTTTTCGCCACATAGTTCAAAGGACACCGTTGTGATCGGAGCGCAATATCTATCAAGGCGTATAGATTTGCACTACTTTTAGTTCAAAAGAAGAGGAGAGGCAATAGTTTGATTCGCTCTCTTCACTATATAATAGATTTTTGAGCGTTTTAATCGTCCAATCAAAAAGGTCCTTAAACTTATGTGAACTCTCCGAAATTTATGCTCCGAACCAACCCAGTTGGTTCGGTGGTTGGTCTAGAAACCAACAAATCCGGAACGGGTATTCAGACACATAAGTTTTGAGAACTTTCTACATAACATAGTTTGGAGTAATATTGTATACTCATAGCCCAAATTCGGAGCCATGTGATTGTTTGTGCGCTGTAAACAAGCCATTTGTTTGTTTGAGTCTTGCATTTGAAATTCGCGCGCTTGCGAAAGAACACATTCAACTCGTGAAACCTGACATGTTCGTCGTGTTTTTTGGCGCTTCCTCCAGGGCCTCATAAAAACGATGTCCCCGTTGCTTCCAACTCCAAAAACGAAGTCCAGTTTGACCCCAAACCATCGGTGCCGGGCCCTGGTCCGGTCCCCTAAAGTTGCCTACAAAAAAGACAACGGACCTAACCCTCTTTGCGTCCCGCCCCTTTTTTGCCTCCACCCCTCCCCCTTCCACGGATTGCCCCTGACGTGTTCTGACATGACAAGCAACGTCGAGACACATAGTTTGTTATGTGGCACTGCTGCATGCGACGTGGCTAGCGCAGGGGCACTGCCCACGACAGGGGCAATCCGAAATAGGGCTTCAGAAAGGGGCAATTTTGGAGATTTCTGGTAATTCGAACCTCATAGCTGAATTCAGCGCCATGGAAAGGTCCGATAACTGAAAACATGGAATACGAAATTTTGGGTGGACGCTGCCTCTAAGCACTTGTGAACGCCATAAAACCCTCACCTTTGCTGAATTTATATGCGACGTATTCCCATTTCGTCTAATCTGACTTCTATTTGTCGAACTCTGTAGAAAACGTTGACATTATGTCTTACATTGCGAAGGGACCCGATCTCTCCTTTGTTAACGGAACAAGGAAAACTCATTTGGTGATAACCCAAACCGAATAGATCTACACAAAGAGCGCTTTCATTGCCATATGCATTATCTTCCCCATTAAGGTATAACAAGCATTATGTTGTATTTTCTTCTTTCATAATGAAGTCGTTTGCAATGGCATTTCAAATCTCTTTTTTCTATTATTACCACAATTTGTATATAAGCTGTTGAAGTCTGGAAATGACAATCCCTTGCCTTCTGTCTCATTTGTATATATTCAGTTCTCATAATATCGAAATTTTTTTCCTTGAACATTCTTAAGCTCAAAAAACTGGTTTCCCTCAAAGGGTGAATTTTTTCTTAAGTAGCTCTGAAGTCTTCAAATTGTTGTGCTGCATTCAACGACAATTCAGCTTTGCTGTTATTAATAACTATTAAGTTGAGTAGCAAGTATAAGGACAAAGCACTTGTGAGTTTAGTTGCCAACGGTTATTTATTGCAATGTAAACTCATAGAAAGCTCCTAGACATCCAGTGTGATAAGACTTTTTTCAGTAGAGTTAAAATTGTTTCAAGGTAACAATCTCACGCAGTCAAGGGTAAAAAGGAAAAAGAGGCAATGTGAATGATATCTGACGTACCTGAATTTATGCCAGTGATAAGCAAAATCTATGATGTATTTCAACTTACATGAAAGTTCTTTTTTGACCGTAACATTCCGATTTGAAATGCACACTATAGTATCTCAAGGCGGTGATCTCAACTCTGAGTCTGTTATCAAAACGATCTTCCAGAGGCCATGAATATTTCATTTGATGAAGTTATTATGATGCTAGGTACTAAATATCATTAGTGCGGTTATCTCCTCTATTCTAACAGCTTCAACAACGGACTTTTATTTTTAGGCTCGTCGATCTAAATTTTATGAGCAAAAAATTAGAAAATTTTTGCATTGTGCTTCTGACTGTTTACTGTATTATCATGGATCCTCTGAAGATTGTATACTAATGAGGTTAGCATCAAAATCAGCGTTATAAAGTGCAATTTATAGCTTTCATCTTATACCAGAAAACCTGGGTCAAAGTATCTTTCTTACTAAGTAGATGACCCGTACAATTTTCAAATGAATTACAGGTTTTTAACAAACAGCATTGTATTTGCAGAACTCTTATAGGAAAGTACGTTTCATTGCAATCCAATAGTAATCACATTGAACTCCAACAAAAAAAATCGGTTATCATAATTGTCTTTTATAGAATGAAGGCATTCGTACTCTTCGTTTGGGCCACATTTGTCGCGACTGTATTGACAGAAGATGAGCCTGCAACTCAATTGTGGAATAAGTATACTAACCAGAATGGAAACTACATTATTCCATATCATTTCTCTGGCGTATACAGTAAGTGCCACTTTGCTTACGTTTGAGCGCAGTTTTATCCCTCATCAAGCCAAAAATTTATGTTTTCTAGAATGAAGCAAAGTTAGTCTGCTGTCGAAAAGTATATACAAAATTTTCAAACATGTTTTCTTCCCTGATCATTGAAGTTAGAGGTTGCTTGCAGGTGATGAAGAGCGCTCAAAGATTCTAAATGCTATGAAAAAAATTGCTGCTAACACATGCGTTGAATTCAAACCTCGCAAAAACGAAGAAGACTATGTCGATATTATCAACGCGGAATCGGAGGGGTAGGTTTCCACTCAATTATAGTTGTTTTAGTCATATTAGAACTTCTCCTCTCATTTGCTGCAGTATGTCGTAGTGGTCATTGGAAGTTTTACGTCATAAATGATTAAAAATTATGTATTTTTTCTATGGCTAATATTTAGATGCGGCTCGAATGTAGGAAGAATTGCAGGAAGGAGCGCCGTATATCTTGAGTCAAGCAAACATGAAAAGTGAGCATGATCTTTTAATCCATGCAGTATTTACAGTATTTCAAAATCTCGATATTGCAGCTGTTTGGATGCAAAAACTATAATGGTAATGCTTTTGCACACTGTCGGACTTAGTGGAGAGCATATGCGAGAGGATAGAGACAAATACATCAAAGTTCATTACGAGAACATTGCAGGTTCTTACTTAAGTACACAATCAACAATATGTTAACAATGTTTAGATCCAATGCTGAACTTTTTCTTTGCGGTAGCTACATCGACGCAAAATTATATCAACGTTCCCTACGATTACCTTTCTATCATGCATAATGCAAAAGATGCTTACGCAAAAGCAGGCAAAGTCACGATCGAGACTCTTGATCCTGCTTACCAGGTGACAACCTATTTTTCATTGCTGTCCAGGGATACAGAAAGTTCATATTAATCTTTTAAGGATAGAATTGGAAAGCCAACGGAACCATCCGCCCGCGATTACGAAAAGATCAATGTTCTTTACGAATGCAAAAGATCTTAATTAAGCATGTTTGGATAAAGCTACACACTTGGTCCGTAACCGCTCTTTGACAGTAACCCAAATTTGTTTGAAACAAAGTAAATTAAGTGGAGCATTGTATGCCAATGCCATAATAATCGCGGCCTTACCTGGACTTATGGCTGCTGCAGCAGTTTGCTCAAAAGTCCAGCTTCAGGTAAAGGCATAGGACAACCCGTCAATCTACTTGCGGTATATTCAATCTGAATTTTATTTACAGAACTGAAGTCTGTTTGTCTGTCTGTCTTATGTCCGTCTGTGTGTAGGTATGTTCCGAATAGCAATTCTTATTTCCGAACCAGTCCGGACCAAACCTTGGATACATATAGTTGGGGCGAGGACAGCTGTCGCAGGCTGCTTTTCGTTATCGATCGATATCACCGTCGATTTTCTGCAAAGTATGAGTTACAGGGCTGAGAGTTGGCACAGGGGGGGGGGGTAAGTCAGCATGCTGATTACGAATATATCAATGACAGAGCCGGGGCGGTGCCGAGTTTGCCAGCTAGTTGGACTTAAAGCACAACAAGAAAATGTAAGGTAATGCAAGGTAATGTACTCCCTTGAAGTAAAGTGTATCAGAGTTTGATGGATGCAGATGGAAACAGAATAATCACAGCATATGGGAACGTCTAAATGGCTCATTCGCCAAACCAGCGATTTGAAACCATGTAGACTAGCCTCAGGGCTCGGCACGAGCTGGCACTAGGGAAATTCTAAAACGAAGTCCCCTTTGATCCTAAAAGTTTCCTACGAAGTCCCCTTTGACGTGTTTTGCATTTGCTTAGGGCGCGCTTTGTGATTGAAGCAGATTTTTCGACTGCGGAGCAGACCAAGAAATGTTCAGATGGCCATAAAACGCCGAAAAGTAAACATTATGAAATTGTTTTTGCTCTGTATGTAAACTTTTACAGTGCAAATACAATTCATGTAAAAAAGTCTGAGAACTTATGTGAGCAAAGGGTCGGTGCCAGCTAATTCAGAAAAAAGTTCAGCACAGCTTACATTCACATAAGTTTCCGTTAATCTTTGAGCCATAGTTTGAGTCCCCCAACGCGCATGTACACACCAAATTTGGTGTCATATGTTTGCATTTTGATTGTAAAAAAGGATTTTATTTGTCCTAGAGGCACGCTGCTGGCGACTTGCCGGTTGCATGCCCCTGGTATTTTAGCAAACAGCCATCTAACCCGCAAAAAACGATATCCCCTTTGCTTTCCGACCCAAAAACGATATCCAGCTTGACCCGGTGCCAGCTGTGCCGAGCCCTGACTAGGTCAACATGCTTCAATCACCCTTAGTATCAGTGGTAAATCTCATGAATATCGAAGAGTGCCGGGCAAGAAAAACGATAGTCGATAGGTATCAATAACCTCACATCTTTCACCTTCATTTTTTTCCCTGCGCCAGGAAGAATTCACACCTTTCTTCTTTCGTGTCTTGTCTAGAGTGAAGAGTTGAAAAGGTTTTGTTTGCTTGAAAATGAGGTAGGGAAATACTGGAAACCTCAAAAAAGGTTCATGTGTGACTTCAAGCATTTTAAGTTCTTTCTTGTAATGGCAATACCAAATTGCACTTATAACCGGGCCTCGTGGAAGACTTATTAGCAGAAGCATTACTTCACTCGTTTTCATTAAGTTTGTCTATTTGGCGTATATAGTCCATATTATCGAAAGTAAGTCATGAAGATTCTGTGAAGACGAAAATTGCCGAACATGGAACAGCTAAATATACGTTTTTTTGGAGGCAAAAAAAGCATATGCATGTAGTAAAGACATCAGCTATCTTCCTTCAATTGGCCCTTTACTCGAGCAAAGGAGCACATTTTATGCGTACGACCGCCAGTACGAGTGGATAGTGGCTTTCTATTGAAGCCACCTAAAAGCTATCCTCTTTTACCCATTTCTTCTCCGATTGCAAAACGACTAAGAAGGAAGGGGTAGTACCTCGTCGCCTTTCCCCACGTAAGAAACCAGCTTTGACGAGACACGATGACGACCTTGCTTCACTTCCACTATGTAAAGCACTCTTCTACAGAAAATTCAATGGACATATTGTCAAACACTGCAGAGAAATATTGTTATGGAAAGCGTGTAGGGACATAAACAAGGGAGCAAAAATCAAAGTTAGTGGCAATCAATCCAGTCTTTACGAACACATACTACATCAGAAACACAGCATTATTCCATATGAACTAGCGACCGACAAAAGCAGATAAGCTTCTAGGCTGAATTCAATGGACCACAAAGTTTTCCTGTAAAAGTTGCATCTCTTAACATACACTATTATATTTTCGCCGAACAAGCGCTACCTGCAGCGTTTGCGAAGCTACAAAAGTGTAAGTCTGTGCAAACAGGAAAGCTCGTGTCCACCAACTGAAATTGAGCTACAAAGGCTGAGAAAAGAACGATGACATTCGTGGTGGCGAATTACGAGGTACAAATAGAAGAAGAGGTGAATATGCATTTGAGTGTTGATACCGTCAGAGCTGGAAAGATGTCAAACATAGCCGCGGTTCTAAAAGCCGTAAATTTCACATTTTGTAGCTGGCGGGCCGCTTCTGCGCCTTCGTTCAACATTGAACTTTATGAAGTGTATGTGAGGGTATCTGTCACGATGCGGGTGTGCATGAGGAAGTTCTAACGAGAGAAGGATAGGTCGAAGTAGGTTTGTATACGAAATGTATACTTTCTTGTGGAGTATGGAACACCAATTCCAAATCTGTGTCCTATATCTGCAAGCCGCTTCTGAAAGGTGAGTTAAGAGAATTTTTAAAGGTAAACATCTAAGGAATTGATCAAAGTCAAATAGGCTATGATGTCTCGTGGCTGCCGCCACGCCCTCTTTCTCAAGAATTTTCGGGATTATGAGCCTATTGGGAAGCATTAATATGCATTTCGTTTCAGATGGCCACTGCAAATTGGAATCATTCTCTTGTAAGTCAGACCCTCAGAATCACTTTCCACGTGTGATCCTCATGCGACTAGATTTGACTGGACGCTGCCTTTAAACATAAAAAATTGATCGAACTTTTTTATTACCTAATAACCAAGAGTACCCCTCCTATCCTTATAAGTATGCGTCGTATCTGTACAAAGCATAGTCCTGTGTCAAAGTGCCAAAAGGTTTCTTACTTCAAATGCGTTCAATAAATTTTCCGCGATAGCCGTGGCAGATGTGTCGCAATTGTTCATAGTAAACGTGGAATGATCTATGTTACTACAAAGCTAACATGCACTAGCTAGCAGTTGAAAAACTATCCCTGATTCAAGTAGTGTTTGAAGCGTTACCATTACCCTAATTTTACGCGTATAAGACGCGGGAGATTTTTTTCTTGAATCGAACAGCACGGACACGCCGAGGGATTTCGTGACCAAAAAATTATTTACAGTGCTGCATATTGCCTGAGCGTATCGTGCGGCATAAGTTTCATTTTCCAAAACAGATAGAGGTGGTTGAGCGGCACGCTTGAAAACCGAAAAAGGTGCGTCCTATACGTGTAAAATTAGGGTAAATGACAAACTGTACCTTTCTGCTAAACCGCGTGCTGCTTTTCTTACATATCCCCTTTCTCTTCCTTTGAAAAAGATGGATACATGAAGATTCTTGATTTGCAAGGAAGGTGTTGCAATTGCGAAGGCATTCTCAACATGAGGTCAACAATATTTGGTAGGCATCGCCATTTTTAAAAATGTCGGAATTCGCTGGTTGTTTCTTACTATGAGCTATCAACTGTCCACAATCATTTGAAATCCAATTGATACATGTAAATATAATTCCCCATCCAGCTGCGTTCCTCGATTTTCAGGTAACCACTAATCACTAGAGAATGTAGTCTTTCGCGCTCTTCATAAGTACTGGGTTTTGAGCTCTCCAAATGATGAAGTTCGAGTGGTTAATGAGGGTTGCGAAGGCGAGGCTCAATAAGTATCTCAATCAATCATATCTTTGGTGAAGGGACTGAATTTCTCATAGTTTTCATCTAACAAATCAACTCACGTAGTTCCGCTGCATTCTTGTGCGACTTCCGACTCCAGTAAGAATGCAAAATTATTTGCGCACAGGGTGGTGCGGTCTCTCCTATAATACCTCTGCTGTCTGGTCGAAGTTGGGAGGCCTTACTTCAGACTCGATCCTCCGCTTTTTCTGCAGTTCCGAGGGATTGAGAGTGTATAACGAAATTTCGATATAGGTGAGGGCCGACATAGCTGTCGAAGTAAAGAAGAAAATCTTCAGATGGCGGCGGACTCATTGATGCAGGTAACGAAAAACAGTGCATGCCACGATTGACCGCCCAGTGCCGGTTTAATGGGAGCAATAATAGTATGAGCTGTTCTATATGTGGTCCCGAAGAGAAAGCAAGTTACAGGAACATATCGGTACGCCGATTTTCTGCGTACGCTGACAAATTGAATGTCTGCAGGCATCAAACCACGAGCCATGTTGCAGCTCAGTTAGTGCCCTAACGCCTGAGATATTCCGCTCGAAACTGGACCCCGCGACCGTGTGTCGCATGTTTTCATGGCGCAAGGCGTGGATCCTGGCGCGAAACTGCCACGAATCCATGCGAATACGATCGCGGGGTCCAGTTTCGAGGGGAATATCTCAGCCGTTAGAGCATTACCTGCGCTGCCGCTTGGGCAGTGCCTTAGTAAGGGCCCCAAAAGTACTTTCCACGTAAAATCCCCATAGGTCCAGATCTGCCTGGACGCTGCCTTTAACAAGAATTCCCAAACTTTGCAAAGTCGGGAGAGACTTGTTTCTACATGAAAGGTGCCACCTCATGCTCACTGATACCCATCGGCTAATTTCACCATCTACATCTAACTGTGCTTGGAATTGTGCGAGACCCTTACATTCTCTCTATCTTAAAGAAAATTTGTTGAGAAGTGCGCTGCTTCATAAGGTATCGCCGAGTCCTTCTTAACTTGATATGTGAGCTTGCACACGCCGCGCTTCAACAGACGACACCCTTACCCCCACATAAAGCCTTTTCTAGCGTTGATAGACTGTAAAAATGTGTACTATCAACTAATATATATCCAATCGAACCACGAGGCAAGGAAACAAGGCGAAATCATTGGAATTGAGCAGGTTCTAATCTTATAAGTTCGTCAGATAACGCGCTTTGTGTGCAATACACATATTAAGTTACGAGTGACTTGAGGATATGTCTATTTATCATCCGTTAAACTCTGCTGATATGGCTCAGGCTTCCTGGAACATTCTCTTTTCAACAATTTTTGCTTTATCAAAATTTTTTAGTATAAATTGTCCTTCCTCGAGGAGTTCCGAGAAAGGTCTGCCTTCTTTTGGTTCGTCTAAGCGCAGAACGAAACGAAGTCGGAATTTCACTCTACTTACGATGAAAAATCTATTTTTATTAATATCAAAAAGATGAAAACAAAATATACTTCAAATCAATAAGGATTCATTTATGTGAGATCATTTGGGGACATAGGCAGCATTTCCAGTAGCATTCAAGAAGGTGAAAAAAAAAGAACTACAATTTAAAACCTATAGATTACATAATGATGGGAGGAAAATCTCATAAAAGAGTCACATAGGAAAAAGAATCGGAAAATGGTGTAGTACTGTGATAGATTTCCACAAGGACACCACTAGATGCTTTGGAGCAAAGAACTCTTGTAATGCATTCCTTTAGCTGCCATGCCAATATTTCTCATGTATGCACTTCGTATGGGCTTATTTAGTGCCAGTAAGACTGGTGCATTGCTTGCACAGAGTACGTCATTGACTACAAACCATAGGGTACGGTACATCCAAGCATCTTCTGGGCGTGCCATTGCTGCGAAGACAGAAAAAATCTGGAAATGAGAATATTTGGTATTTCTCTTCTTGGTTTGTGACTCGTACAAATCACAAGTTATCGGGAGATATCAATTAGAAGAAATTTTTTCTCGGTATGAAAGAAATTTGAAAGAGAAACTTACCCCCAAAGTCAGGTAAGATATGAAGATTATGAAAGCAGACGATGCCAAGCGCATTACCAACTCTCCTGGTTTCCTCACTACCACATGAGTTTGAACCCTATACAAGATAAGTCAGAATATAATGACAGATTTAACTTGAGTGAGCTTACCTAATGAAGATGGCCATATAGAGTGCAGAGACTATCGTGTTTATAACTACACCATCAAGAATGGCTTGTCCAACGAAATAGATCTAAATTATTATCCAGGCTAACCATTTGAATGAGCCAACGTGTGATCACAAGCAAACTTTTTGCTTGAAAAGTTGCGCAGAATATTAGGTTGTACCGAAAGTTCGCACCATTTTCAAAAATTCATAACTCTTTAAATTCTCAACGAATTTGTATGGCCGAATTTTTGCTTTGGAGAGGAGCTCATGCTCTTTGCAACACTACCTGACTGCTCAATAATGTTTACAAATGAAGAAGATAGAAGCTAAAAACCAAAATCAGTCAAAATTTGAATTTTTCGTGTAGGGTCATAAAAAATCGGAAACTTGCAACAAAAATCGGAGCAGTAAATATTGTAGGTTTTTTTTACCAGCTCTTTCTAACAGTGCAAAGTTTGCGCCGATTGAGCGCCTCTATGAAAAGTTACGATTTTCCTGAAAAATGCCAAAATATTAGGTTCCGAAAATTCTTGGCACGATTTTCAAAAATTCATAACTCTTTAAATTCTTCACGAATTTCTACGTTCAAAATTTTACATGAGCTCATGCTCTTTGCATCTATACCTGAATTTTTCGTTAACATATATTAGGTTGAACCGAAAGTTCGTTCGCACCATTTTCAAAAAATCATAATTTCTTTCCTTCACGACGATTTTGCGCAATTTAAGTTTTATTAGAAAGCGTAAAGCATGTAGTTACCAAGTGCCCTGGCGACTTTCCATCCAGCATGTTCAGATTGCAGAGATAAAAATGAAAGAACGAAAACATCCGAAATTCGGAATTTTTGAGAAACAATTCCAAAAATCTAGAAAGTGCGCGATAAAACCCAGAAAAGCCATTATCCTAATTTTTCTTACATTTGATTACTAACTGTGTTAAGTTTGTGCTGATCGAGCTCTTCTTTCAAAACTTATGATTTTTTGAAAAAAAATTCCGAAAAATCACTTTTCTAAGAATTCCTAAGAAATTGATTTTTCGGCATTTTTTTTTCAAAAAATCATAACTTTTGAAAGAAGAGCTCGATCAGCACAAACTTAACATAGTTAGTAATCAAATATAACAAAAATTAGGATAATGGCTTTTCTGGATTTTATCGCGCACTTTCTAGATTTTTGGAATTGTTTCTCAAAAATTCCGAATTTCGGATGTTTTCGTTCTTTCATTTTTATCTCTGCAATCTAAACATGCTGGATGGAAAGTCGCCAGGGCACTTGGTAACTACATGCTTTACGCTTTCCAATAAAACTTAAATTGCGCAAAAACATCGTGAAAGACAGAAGTTATGATTTTTTAAAAATGTTGCGAACGAACTTTCGGTTCAACCTAATACAAATGAAGGAGATAGAAGCTCAAAACCGAAATCATTCAAAACTTGAATTTTTCGTGTAGGGTCATAAAAAATCGAAAACTTGCAACAAAAATGGGAGCAGTCAGTATTGTAGGTTCTTTCACCAGCTCTTTCCAACAGTGCAAAGTTTGCGCCGATTGAGCGTCTATACGAAAAGTTATGATTTCCCTGAAAAATGCCAAAATAAATCAAATTCGCCCTTTTGTATTGCTTGATCGAAAATCGTAACCTTTCACAGAGACGCTCAATCAGTGCAAACTTTGCACTGTTAGAAAGAGCTGGTGAAAGAACCTACAATACCGATTGCTCCGATTTTTGTTGCAACTTTCCGAATCTTATGACCCTACACGAAAAATTCAAATTTTGACTGATTTTGGTTTTTAGCTTCTATCCTCTTCATTTGTAAACATTATTGAGCAGTCAGGTAGTGCTACAAAGAGCATGAGCTCCTCTCCTAAGCAAAATTTTGATCATACAAATTCGTTGAGAATTTAAAGAGCTATGAATTTTTGAAAATGGTGCGAACGAACTTTCGGTACAACCTAATATATGGTGTAATATTTTCACTATTTAAGCGGCTATGAATGCAAAAGTCAAAAGTCATCGGATGAAGCTTATTTTCGATGGTAGTGAATCTCTACGACAGTTTGTAAGGATGCTTGGTCTCCACACATAAGTGTAGGGACTTTGCCTATGCTTGTTTTCTAAATGGAAGATTTCAAGATTCAAGTTCTAACGCAGCACGTTGGAAGATTGGCATCTAAAGTATGTGTCATTGTGAGACTCATTTGCCGAATTGCAGCAGAATTGACTAGTAATCTCCTCATAAGTGTATGAACGTAAGTCTTTGCTATGCCTGTAAATGTGTGATTGGGATTTTTGAATAGTGACTAGATTGCTTGGAGGCCATGTAACATAATCCCGATTTTCTAAGAGAGGAGCAAAACCACACTGATTGGAAATCGTTTTGTTGCAAGTTTTATGTTCGTATTTTGTCAGAACCTGTGCTCATGTCAGTTCGTAGCTGTGTATCAAGAAATCTGCCTTCTTCTTTCATGAATAATCACTCGGAAATGTATGCCATGCAGATTCACACCGAACTTCCTCCTATTTCAACATAAGACAGGGGCACTTTTGCATGAAAATCGCGGGCTAGAGACTTCCGTCTCTGATAATCTTATCTTTTCTATTGACTACGCAGTAATCGTTCCATCAAAGGTCATCAAAGGTAGAAAGCGGTTTTCTAAATGGCATCGAGTGCTCGTCCTCAGCAAGGTGATTTTATGCCACAAAATTCTATCACTAAAATTGTCGCTGTATTCTCTGAATAGGTGGAAGATGAAAATCTCTTACAAATTCAATTCTCCCTGTAATTTCAAATCGGCGAAAACGAGAAATAAAAGCCTTTACCAGAATAAGATAACAATTTTTCACTGATTTGGCCCAATTTTCACCAAAAATATCAATCTGTGTTCAATGCGTAGTTGTCGCGTCAGCTGATAAGGTCTTTTTGCCTACTTGGAATGCATTGAAAGTGAGCGCTGACATCACCAGAGTACAAAAATCATTTTAAAGGAAGAGAATTCGCGCAATCAAGCTCTTTCCATTGATTAGGTAAAACTCTGTGTTAATTACAGAAACTCACCCTATGAAATACTCTATCTTTTGCTGTAAAGGTGACGGAGCCGGTGGAACGAGTGATGACGAAAGAGAATTTGGTGAAGAGCAAAGGTATGGTAAAAATCAGTGGAATAGTCCACTGAATGACCATCAAAATAGTGACGATCTGGATTTGACAATAAATCAATACAATCAGCAAAAAATAAAACTAAATCGAAAATTATTTCATTACCTTTGGACGCCACCATCTTTGTTTGTGACGCATTGGGTAATAAACAGCCGTAAATCTAGAAATTTGGTTTTCATCCCACCTTTACTCCTAATCAAATAACAACAAATCTCACCTGTTTACAGCTATAAATATGATTCCAATAGCTTGTGAATGCCCAAGGTAATTCACACCAGCAACAGGTATAACCGACCAATTATTTTCATAGAAGCTCTCAGGAAACACTCCAAATATGGGGAATTTGAAGAATATTGTTGCGAATACGGTCATCATAATGTCAGCTACTGATAGATGAATGCAGAGTCGAAAAAAGGATGACCGGAATGGTGTCTGAGGTTTCTTGCTGAAATACAGAGAGTGAGTAACAAGCCATCCCAATTTTCTTCTGCTGAGCGTAATATTTTGCATGCCATTTATTATCTTTTTTATGACTATAATCCGTACCAATTTTATTGAGTAGCTTGTGGAAATTTATCGAAGCTTGCGGCTTACAGTTTTCGGCCTGGATTGGTTTTCGCTATATTTTGAACTATAATATTTTAGATTTTGCAGTCAAGCAACAAGCAAAACATCAAAACTTCTCTCGTTTTTTTTTTGATACTCAACATTTTGGAAATTCTCACAAACAACGACTTGAACTTCTAACTATGACAAGATAAATTGCGCTGCGATTCCAAAATTTCTATCTCAATGCATTTGAAGCTTTACTTACCCTATTGACAAACTATTTTCAAGGCACTGTTGAGCTTTTTCCGGTTTTGAATGTCTTTTAAAAATTATCGGTTACTGCCTGTGAGAAAAAAATTTGATTTTGCGGATGGATGGGCAAAAGGTACAGAATGAAATCAAAGAGATCAGATGAAAGAGATTCAATCGCAATTTTGGTTTAATTGCGCGTTAATTTTTCTCATATATATCATTGTTCTGAAATTAGCGAAGTATGAGCAAGGAAACGAAATGCATTGATAGATCTGGCACTTTGCCAAAGGCGTATAGGAACAGCAGTTCAGATAATCAAGGCTTATTGGAAGCAGGAGTCTAGATAATTACCACTTTGCGTTTCATCGTCCTAAGTTTTTGATTATACGTTTCATTATGTACATTTTATTTCTATTACATACCCTCGCACATTTCTACAATACCGCTCACATTTTTTGAAAAAAAGACGCGAATGTATGGACATGTGTGGACATGTACGGACATGTCCATACATGTACGGACATGTCCATACATGTACGGACATGTCCGTACATGTCCGTACATGTCCATACATGTATGGACATGTCCATACATCAGCGTTGCGTGGCCATATCTCGCTTCAGAGTGGACGAATTCTGAATCCAAAGCCACCATCCGATTCAGCTCGGCGCGGAGAATCTTCTGATATATTGGAAGTGGAGGTACGATGTCTACTATATTCCGTTTCCAGATTTTTCATTGTTCTGCGGAGGTCCTTTTGCGAATACATGAAGCAACGCCTACCCAACATAGAAGACTTTGCTAAGTACTATTCCATAATAGTGTTCTTCTAGATTACTGTCCGCTACAAAATAGGCTCAGACTCCTTTCCAAAGGAGATAGAAGCGTTGGTGAACTTTGGAAAAATCACGCGTTTTTATATTCTACTCGCCATAACTTCCTTCGGAATAAGTATATTTTGAATACGAAAACAGCGCCTTGCTCAGCCCATCAATGCGAATCTTCTATATACAGTATGTCCTTAATATTTCGATTTCAGTATTCTTGAATCTTTCTAAGGACGTCTTTTCGCGAAGGTGTAAAGCAGCGAGCATTGCCTCGAGTAAAATCCAGCGAGGACCTTTCGACAGTACTTTTCCTGAAGATTATAAAATGCCAAATAGTAGCCGCAGATTTCTTTTTAAAGGAAATAGAACGGCTAATGAATTGTGGAAAAATCTTGTCGTCCCAAGTTCTACTCTCCATAGCCCTAGAATACGAAGCTATCTCGCTAAACGGATGTGAGTTTCGAAATCAGCAGGCCGGACAACCTCCATGAGCAAGTTTCCGACATGTTCGGGTTATTTCATTTTTTCTCGTTTTAGGCTCCGGAAGCTTGCCGATGGATTTTGGTCAAAATGTTGATGCTCTTGAATTGTGAGGAAACTTCGCTTATAGAGGTTTTCGAATACGCTCTTTACGAAAATCGTGGTCTTTGAGGATTACAGGGTCTTTTTGGAGAGATACGGTGAGGTGATTGTAACTGCGTCACGAAAGTGCGTAACTTTGCCCGCTTTTTTCGCGTATCTGTCAGAAACCTTGCCTGCTTGCTTTTCTCAGTCAAAGTTACTAGGAATTGTGCTATCGAATGGTGCATGACTCAGGCTCCAGGAAATTCGCCGAGTTACGAGCCTACAAAAACACGTTCTCATGAATTTTGCCCAAAATGTAAAGATCGCATATCGTCGAAATTTCTCCGTGAGTGCTTGTAGACGCTCGTTGCAGATATTATGTTCGCTTCGTCGAACGACTTCCACTGTACTGAATATGGTGCTTGCGTCTGCTTCAGTTGCTCAATTGAATATCAAAGCTATTTCGTGGCTAGAGCGCAAAGCACCAAATCTAACACAATAAGATTTATTAGAAGATTCCAGATACTTTACAGTCTCAGAGCACGAATGTTTTTGAACGCAGAATCAACACACTTGATCTTTTACGTTTGAGGCATTCGGAGAATGAGTAATGAATAGCACCAATCCGTCATCTGTATTGCTATAACTATGTGCGATTACATTGTCCGACCACAAAATGCATACCAAATACAACCATCAATTTGTGTTTTTTTTAATATTATTTTCTTTCAAATGTCTTACTAACCCATATCTTGCTATTACGTTAATTCAGGTCTGATCAATTTACTTCTCTTCCCAATCATTACAGCTTGTTGACTTGCTCTTAAATGAATTACAAAAAGTGAAACTATTTGATATTCTTTCGGAGTCATTAGACTGTCCCTGGAATCATTTGGGCAGGGTTGATTGGTATTACTGCACCAACCGAGCCCCGCTTTGCTTCATTATTGCAGGAGCATCTTCTGCTGGCAAATGAGTTGGCATGATTGCCATCTCCATAGATTACAATAACCTAACTTGATCACGCTCACGTATGAGTTATCCATCATTACAACCCTTATTGAAATTCATTTGGAGTCACTGGCTCACACTGGTTTACTGGTTTGGTGGGGTCGGATAATATACCCACCATCAAACCTTGTTTGCTTGTTAAAATCAAAATATTTTGCTGGCAAAAGGGGGCATGGGTACATCTCCATGAATTGCATCATTTAATTCCGATAGTTATAATCATAGAGCAGTCAAATACAAGCTTTCATCGCATTTTTATCAAGATTAGACCTAAGTGATGCACTATCGTTGCGGTTAGAGTATAAATGACTGCTTTCTATTCTATTGTATGGAACGCCAAGAGGGTATAGAATATATAAATAAATAAATAAATAAAAATGTGAAAGGATTTGATCAGCGCGTTGTACAAGCGCTCATGGAGGAATTTCGACGAGATATGCGATCTTTACATTTTGGGCAAAATTCATGAGAACGTGTTTTCGTAGGCTCGTAACTCTGCGAATTTCACAGACTGGAGCCTGAGTAATGCACCATTCGATAGCAAAATTCCTATTAACTTTGAGTGAGAAAAGCAAGCAAGCAAGGTTTCTGACAGATACGCGAGAAAAGCGGGCAAAATTACGCACTTTCGTGACGCAGTTACAATCACCTCATCGTATCTCTCCAAAAAGACCCTGTAATCCTCAAAGACCACGATTTTCGTAAAGAGCGTATTCGAAAACCTCTATAAGCGAAGTTTCCTTACAATTCAAGAGCATCAACATTTTGACCAAAATCCATCGGCAATCTTCCGGAGCCTAAAACGAGAAAAAATGAAATAACCCGAACATGTCGGAAAACTTGCTCATGAAGGTTATCCGGCCTGCTGATTTCGAAATTCACATCTGTTTGGCGAGATAGCTTCGTATTCTAGGGCTATGGAGAGTAGAACTTGGGACGACAAGATTTTTCCACAATTCATTAGCCGTTCTATTTCCTTTAAAAAGAAATCTGCGGCTACTATTTGGCATATTATAATTTACAGGAAAAGTACTGTCGAAAGGTCCTTGCTGGATTTTACTCGAGGCAATGCTCGCTGCTTTACACCTTCGCGAAAAGACGTCCTCAGAAAGATTCAAGAATACTGAAATCGAAATATTAAGGACATGCTGTATATAGGAAGATTCGCCTTGATGAGCTGAGCAAGGCGCTGTTTTCGTATTCAAAATATACTTATTCCGAAGGAAGTTATGGCGAGTAGAATTTGAAAACGCGTGATTTTTCCAAAGTTCACCAACGCTTCTATCTCCTTTGGAAAGAAGTCTGAGCCTATTTTGTAGCGGACAGTAATCTGGAAGAACACTATTATCGAATAGTACTTAGCAAAGTCTTCTATGTTGGGTAGGCGTTGCTTCATGTAATCGCAAAAGGACCTCCGCAGAACAATTTGAAAAATCTGGAAACGGAATATAGTAGACATCGTACCCCCACTTCCAATATATCAGAAGATTCTCCGCGCCGAGCTGAATCGGATGGTGGCTTTGGATTCAGAATTCGTCCACTCTGAAGCGAGATATGGCCACGCGACGCTGATGTATGGACATGTCCATACATGTATGGACATGTACGGACATGTACGGACATGTCCGTACATGTATGGACATGTCCGTACATGTCCATACATGTCCATACATTCGCGTCTTTTTTTCAAAAAATGTGAGCGGTATTGTAGTGTAAATGCACCCTATAAAATATACCAATCGTTGACAAACCTTTCATTCATGATGACATAAACAAACAAAATATTGACAGGCAAACAGAATAACGACAGAAGGGTGGATATAAGCTCGACTACGAGTGCCACTGTAACCATTGCTGAAAAAAGAAAACTCATAGTTCTTAGACGAAGATCAAAGGAGGGATGGCGAGTACTCCTTGCAAATTTTGAATACATATGATCGGAAGGTGCGCCATAAATGATGGAATCAATCGATTATTGATTTCTGCGTCACAAGCAAGCACAAGAGTTAAGCCCAGAAAACCTTTTGGCCAGCATAACTAGAAGAATTTCTTCCCATAAAATTTGTGAGATATGTGATGGGAAGAACAGTGACGCAGATATGATGAATTAATTGTAAACAGATAAATGAGAGATAGTCGGATCGGCTTAGTTGAAGTGTTGGTGGAAGGTGTTTATTTGATCTTCCTCTAGAAATGGTCAGAGATTACGAAACGGAATGTGACGAGCCGTGTTATAATAGAAAAAATACCGGAATTTCAATCTGCTCATAGTTTTTTTGTGATTTGTAATTGTATTTCAGCACGCCTAAACTTTCAAGAATTAGAAAAAAATTTTTAAAAATAAAAAAAAAGAAATAAAGAAAATAAATTTTGTCTAAGGGATTCTGTAGCATTGTTATGGTATTGATATGGCAAAATGTTGGACTTCTAGATTGATAAATTTCAAAAATACTTTACTAGCACTTCACCAGATTTGTTTACCATTTTTAAGAAGAAATTGTTATGACCGCTGCTATGCATAAGATTTCGTGCAAATTGACGAAGCATCGAAAATTTCTACATATTCGAAAGATGGTTTGATTACAATGAAGCGGGTTATAGCTCAAACTTATATACAGCGAACATATATACAATCATAAATGCAACTTCCACCAATTTTACTTTGCTCTTTTCTCCTCTAAGCGCGGATGGGTTCAGACAAGGAAGTGATCACCTCTTGTTAGTTTATTTCATCAAGTGATTCTATTGGTCGTCAAAAAACAGTCGTAAGTGCTGCGTGGTGTGTGCAACCTTACTGCAACCGGGCTGTTACCAGTTAAACGATGTGCAAAAAAATTACATTGTCTAATTCCATATACTTCGTTTACTTCACTTGTTTCATAGCACGTGCCTACCAGTCATATTGGTATTGTCGGATTACAACGTAGAAGGCGAACACGTGATGAGACGAGTGAGTGAGAACAAACAAAAGGATATACCCAAGAGTGATAAAAATAAATATCAGACATAGTTTAAAATTTTGACAGAATATATCAGGTTGGCACATATGTAATGCAACTTTTATGACTGTTGTATTGGAATGTTGAAACTCCGTCTAAGGGGGCTGTTCGAGATGCTCATTACAAAAGTGATACCCATTCCGTATAAAAGCGTCTCCTTCGTAAGGTTGAAGAATGACTACATTTTAGCAACAAATGGATGTGGTGTTCCTGTTCAGCATGTCGAAAGAAAAAAACCCACTGTTAACATAAGGTAACATAACATAACATATTCAGGTTGATTACGGCTTCATTTTTGCTTGACAACCGCCAAACCTCGATTTTCAACAGTTTTTGGAAAAAGCTTGGATTTTTTTCTTCTATTTCAACAAAAATCAAGGCGATCAGGGCAATCACATAGCTTACATCATGATTTATGTATCTAATATAGAAAATGTGAGATGCATTCAAAAATGATCAGCGGGGGACCGAGCGGGTCCCGAAGGGAGCGCGCCTGCAACTAGCACCTTTGAGATTACTGGTTTACTAGTATATGCCAAAAAGGAGAGCGCTACATTAGAAGGAGGAAAGTACAGTAGAAGTTGCAAAACTTATGTGCCAACCTAATATCACAGTTTATGTGGGTCAACAATACACGGTATTATATACATACCATTGAGGCATTCATTTGAGACAGTTATTGTGTGTATTGAAAACGTTTCAGTGGTGTTCACATAATACTAAAAATACAACCACATGACGGTCTATGCAATGCTCAAAACACCGCCCACGAAGTGGAAGTCGTAAACATACTCTGATCTTCCTAAAATTCCAAATGCTTCACAAAAATAGAGCTATGTAGTATATTCACAATCGTTCCAGGCTTCAGTTTACAAAAACGCGCATTCTTTTTAAAAAGATAAACAAAGACAAAATATTCAGTTAATCATGAATCGCATAATCACATATTGCAGTTTTCTGGTGGTCAAGACTCATTAACACACATTGACACATTCATCCAAAAAAACAGACACAAAGAGGTTTCGTCTTAAAAAGAAGACTGGCATTTATGCAAAAAGAAGACTGGCATTTATGCTTTAGAATAAATAAAAAGAGAAGGGTGGAAATGTGCTGTAGCAATATGTCTAATCTAAGCTTGTTTTAAGCTTGTTACATCGAAGCAACGATTTATGCATATGAGTTTGGCCGAAACTTTGCTCAACAATGGTTCTGTGAAGAAAGTCGATAACATTTGCTATCAAAGGGTGCGGCAAGCTTATCGCAAACGTCTAAGGCAAAAGGCACCGCGAGAAACTCAAGAGGAAAGGTTTGTCGAAGTAGCAATGCAAAAGGTGATGTATAAGGGTGTTCCATCATTTTTTACCATTTTTACTCCATCCCGTCTTTTTGTATCTTTCCTTCAATTGATGTAATTTGAGTAATCATTCGACAGAGCAAAGCAAGCACTACAAGATTTAAAATCTAGCTGAATCGAATTCCACGCGAAGTTTTGAGCTAATTTTGATGGCAGTCGAAAACAAACTTTATCCGTCAAAAAGCGTATCTCCGCGTGAAAAAATTCTAAAAATTCCTCATCTATCTCAGCATACTCTTAACACGAGCTTTCGATTGTACATTTTTCGTATTTATCTAGCTAGAAAAACAGGGAAAAATCGCAAACTCGGCCCTTAGACGTTTTGAGCACCTCCCACGACTTGGTCGTATAGCGCAGACATTCAGAAGTACGATCATGTATTTGTATCATTTGTAAGTGCCACAGTTCTCAAGAAATGCTGATGTTTAGGGTAAAAACGGTAAGGTAAATTATGAGACAACCTAATAGTAGGTTGCCCCACAGATTTTAAAATATTTGAATCTTCAAATTGACCATCTCTCAAGAGCAGGGATTTCTGAATGATCAAGCTATATAAACGTGTATGCTGAAGGCTCAGGACCACAACGAAAATTGTCTACGTAGTTAATTTTCTTGACTTACCATAAAAAATACAGTAAATGCCTAAGCGAGAGGAATATTCGTAGAATTTTGTTGAATTAAAGTATAATTACGTTCGTTTTTGTAATGTGTAGATACGCCTGGTTTGACGCAAATGAGCGCGGACCTTGCTTTTAGCGATATGTCGCTTGCCTTACTCCTGTGTACATGGAAAGTCTGGTCCATCATAAAACAAATGGTGTCAACCATCGTGAATAAAATGTACAACATTCCATTTCAGAAGCTTTGCTATGAGGGATCTAAACTTACAAAAAAAATGTTGGTAAGAGAAAAATGCAGCGCTTGTGGTCTTCAATTGTTCATGGTTTGGGAGCCTCTAGAAAAAGAGTAGATACATCATCATTTGGTATGCAAATCTTCCTCCTCAACGGCGCTCCATCAATAGTATACTAGACCATGTTCGGAGTTAACTGATAGGCTTGTATGTAAACTTGGAGCTATACACATTCGCATATCTGCAATCGCGATTACGGACCCACCTTTGCGGGTCAAAGTCATGTATCCGTTTGACATGCAACTTTCAAAGGAACCAGCAAAGAACCCGCTCGTTTCTATGCATGAAATTTGTAAGCTAGTAGAGTTTAGTGTGCTGTAAAGTGGCTGAAGACGTTGGCTATAACTCACGTAGTTGTCCCTGATCTCGTGACACACATATAGGGAATTCCGAAAATTGTGCAGACTGCGCGACCGCGCGCGATGCTCACGCACTTCCGGTAACTTCAATTTCTTGGTTTTCATCTTTACTCGTTTGGTTTTTCCGCTTACTATCATAGTATCTACACACTAGAAATGACCGGGTCGAGCAGGAAGTGTGGCACACAACTGCCAGATACGACCCCCCCCCCTAAGTCCGCCCCGATACCCCCCTAGCTTATCGTTTGCCTGCAGTAGGCTTGACATAAAGGCTCTACCAGGCATAACTAGTAACATATTCGCAGTTATCATGCCAAATAACCCAAAGGGGCCAAGTTTCAGCGGATTCTGAGGATTTCCAATATTGAGCCACTGTGAAGTGGTCATTTCCAAACGTAATCAACTATAATATATTTCAAAAGTGAAGTAATTACCTCTTTTTTATTCAATACAAGCTCAATACTCCGTGTTCGCCTATACCATGACCGTAACCAGCTATACCGTCAAATTATGGAGTTAGGAGCCAGCCAAAATCTCGTTTGTCCCGTTTTCCGCTCGCAGTGGTTATGCTTCTAGCAACTATTGCTCAAACGAAAGAAGACGAATTCAGCTACAATTCCTTCCACAAAAACTAAGAGACTATCGGCTATAGAACTGTGTATAATTTGTTCTCTAATATTCGAAGGTAAAATGGGGTGTGGCACAACCCTAGAAAACCTGTGGCTGCCACACCTTTTAGGGGTTCTACTACACCTCATTAACTTACCTTAAACCATTCTGATACCTGCTTTTTATAAATAGTTGCTACTACTCAACCTTCTTCTTTATACAACAGGAATTTCGTCTAAAACCGTATCTTCTAAGGAAAGATATAATTGTTTTCCTTACCTACGCAAATAGAAAATATTGCGAGAATATTGGGTTACGGTAATATGCTAAGTCTACGCTACTAAGTTAATTATGAGGGAAGGCGACATGAATGTACATGTTGGTAGTCTAAGCCTCGCGATTAACACTAAAGCGGTAGAGCCTGATTGGTCTTCTCGATTCTGAAATAGAAGTTTTGGAGGTTATTTGAAGTAGAATGCCTAAAGTAAGCAAAGAAGTGGTAGTTTTCTGTATAAAGTGCAGAAAGAATCAACTCACTTTTGAAACAAAATCAACATGATCGAAAATGACTATCTCAAATGGCCCAATATTTGGAAAGATCGGAATTTGCTGAAACATGGCCCCAC